TCAGTTACGACAGAAACTGATTGTGAAGTATTCTTATTGAAGTGTTTTTCAGTTGTATTTTGAGTAATAAAATGAAGTGGTTGAATTCTGCAAGAACCATTACCGCACATTCAGAGTTTTACGGAAAATCAGGATGGAGTACCATTCATAAAATTTACAAAATACATTTTTTGAGCAGACATTAAAAAACTACAGTTTTACATCAGAAGACACAAAAATCCGAATAACTCGAAATCCATGTACACAGACATATACATATTAACTTCCCTTTTTTTATCAATTGCTTTTGAGACACCCTGTATATATTTTCTGTTTGTTGAATACTGTAAGAAGAAGAAAGGCTCGATCGCTCTATTCTTCGTTCCTCTAATTCGAACATGGTTTATTTATGTACTTCTGTCAACGTTACTGCACTCATTAATTCAATTTTCGCCCCAATTTGGTTCGGATAGGTTATGAATTGGTCGAGGGTGAATAAAATTAATGACTTTTCTGACAATTACGGCGTTAAAGAGCACTTAAAATAAGGGCGTGTTGAGTGTACACTCCGGACGACTGGCAATTAGCCATATCGAGTGATTTTTTAATTTGTTTACCAAGGAGTTGACATGTTCATGTACTCTAGTGGGAAATCGACCTGGAAAGTGTTGAATAAAGGTGTTTAGTGTTGGATGCAATTCTCTAAAACTTTTCATTTATACTTCGTTGTAAGATAGATGTCAAGACTTATAAAACTCGCCTTATGTATGACCTGTCAAAAAGTATTCATCACCAGAAGTTGTATTTTCACCGATTACAGTAGTACTGACCCTTCAATTACAAAAATTCTTTGGAACGAAATCATCCTTTTCCAAAAATTGACTAATTTGTGAAGTTTTCACAATACAGTTTACAAAACCCAAACACGAGTTTCACTATACAATAGCTTTTCCAGGTGTAATACAGTATTGAACACGTAATTATTGAAAACACCTTTCCCACGCCAGAACAAAATACTTCTGTCGACACGCATTTCGCTAACCGAGTCGCATCATCAGGAGATGACTAACTGAAATAAATTGAGTTTTGCCAGACGTTCCAATTCTATTAAACACGTGTTTAATTTATAAATGAAATGTCTTTAAATGCATTATTATGGATTTTAATCAAGTATGAACACCAAGAATGGACAACTCATAAACAACACTGTTCTTAGAATGTGATCTTTCGACCTATATTGTGATCAAAAACGACATATATTGTCACAATCTAATGAATAGTGTCGTAGGTACCTAATAACAGTAATCTGACGTTAGATTGAATTTTCATCAGGTATGGACATCAAGTATGGACAACTCCTAAACAGCAATGTTCTTAGAATGTGACAATATAGGTTCTTGATCTTTCGACCTATATTATGATCAAAAACGACATATATTTTCACAATCTAATGAATAGTGTCGTAGGTACCTAATAACAGTAATCTGACGTTAGATTGAATTTTCATCAGGTATGGACATCAAGTATGGACAACTCCTAAACAGCAATGTTCTTAGAATGTGACAATATAGGTTCTTGATCTTTCGACCTACATTATGATCAAAAACGACATATATTTTCACAATCTAATGAATAGTGGCATGAGTACCCAATAACAGTAATCTGACGTTAGAATGTTTAAATTCGAGCATGCGTTCTCAAACAGGTTAAGAATATATTCCCTCAAATTTGTATAAGAAGGACGATAAAGTCCTGATCGGGGTTCTCGTCTTATAAAATGGGACCCTAAGTGGCATTTTCAGTGAAAATTGAAAACAAAACTCAGCTTGATGGCAAGTCCAAAAGTGAGCTATCACAAACGGTGCACTTGTACGATGTACCAAACAGTTTAATGTACTAGAAAATTACATGCTTTCGACTAATTTTTCGGATCATTTAGTAACCCATGAAGCGAGCAATTATCGACCGTTAGATGAAATCTTTCAGCTAAAACGCGAGGAAAAAATCGCCTCAGACACGCCGGCGTCTTCCTCACATCTTATTGCTCATTAGCGGAAATCAAGGACTCAATTATGGGAATATAATGAGTGGCCATTATTGATTCCGGGCATAGGAATGATGGACCGTTTTGATTGACGGATCTGATAAAGCGCGTACTCTAAATAGACGAATCAACTTTCCATATTCGAAATCGGAGTCAAGGCTTTGCATATGATTTCATTCGATGCATATCCTCCATTGTAAATATTTTGTCAGTCGGATGCCGTTATTTAAATTGGATATCTATGGAATGCCAGGAAATATGCGGGCCTCGATAAAAATGAGGCACACCTTCGGAAGTATCGAATTTTTTAAGAAGATAAAGGAAGAGTCTGTAGACAGCAAAAACGTCGCGTGTTTACTTTTCACCTTAGCACTTGGCACAATATATTACAGAACCTTATAATTTACAGCACATATTGAAATCCTCAGAATTTACTCTTCGTTTGTGCAAGTTTTTTTAGTAGAGAGATAACCACCTTTGTGAGATCCTACACATATTTATTATGTGATATATATCGTATTCATCACCCAAAGACGATTGTGGATACGTCGTGAAGTAACTTGGCTTGAAATCTTTTAATTTTTATTTCATTTTAATCGTTCAATTCTCAATTTCTTGCTTAATGTAATTGTTATTTTCAGCTATTCATTTTCATTTTTAATTTTATTTATTTCAAAACGCCAGTAACGCTAAAAACATTTTTCAACTAGCTTCTACAGACAGCAAACGCTCTGCATCTATACTTTGCCCCCTTCACTTGTCGGCACAATGGAAAATCGACAAAAAGTATAAAATTTCTAATAAAGCTAGCCAATAAACCTTAATTTTACATAAAGCAGTGAATTAGGAATTGATTCCCCAATTAAAGTCAATAAAACCGAAGGAAAATCATTTATTGTTAACTTGTATACTCATAATTGATTGATAGTAAATTCTTATTGAATCAAAATCTTGCCTACATTGTGTTATTGTATATTGCAGTTTATTTTCAAAGATATGGGAATCTGAAGGGATGAATATATGGAGCACAGAACACTCAATGGTGTATGCCCAAACTCTTTCAAAAATTCATAATTTTTGTCAGTGAGTTGTTGTCCTGCATATTCTCCCATTATCAAATATTATGGAGTTATATGCATTTGTGATTTTAAGAAACAATTTAATAGCTGTTCATTTTACCAACTGAAGAACAAACGACGACTATTCTTCAGTCGTACAACCCTAGTAGACTACTGTACTATGAGAAACTTTCACAGTCGAATATAGATGAAAATGACAAGAAAATAAGGTTGACTTTTCAATCATTCGTCATACCCGATTTATATTCGTAATACCGCATATCCTGTTAGTCACAATATTACTGAAAAAAAGATATCATTATCAAACAACTCAACCAAAGCATTGACACGAAATTTTCATTCATTCACAATTTGTGGAATAGAGAACATATATTCTTGCTCGCTTCCTGTTATTCATCAGTTATTGATTTTCTAAGTAAGAAATTACTCATTTTGCCACATAAGTGTCTACGAAGGGATACATTAAACATTTGTATTTGGAAAGAAGATGATATCCTTCAAACCGACAAACAATTCAATGATAGCTTTCAGAGAAATGTACATAACCTATACGCGTGTCTAGTGTCAACTAACTAGTAGAGATGAATTGTCATTGAGTATTTTTTTTTGAGAGTGATACAAGATAAGTTTTCTTGCTCTTGAATAATCTTTTCCTGAAATTTCTATAGTTTTCTTTATAAAAACGCGAGTTTCTTTATGTGACTACCGTTTCGTCTTCGACTGCGGTAGACACTATCAAAGGCGATGAAGCAACCTGCACACCATATCTAATATTGGGTTTTTCATTCTTATTTCTACATTATAACGAATTTATTATTTTAGTAGCTTCTTATTTGAAACCATCAATTGAAAATCAGACTTGAAAATAAAATTCAAATTTTGCGTTGAAATTCGGTATTTAGGGTCAAAATCAATTTCAAAGCAACTTTTTCAAATATCATATTTTGGTATCTCCAACGAGAAGCAAAATATCGAGAATCTGCCCTTTTCGCAGGATCGCAGGCAGCTGGGTTTAAGGCTGCAGGCACGAAAATGGCAACGGCCGAGCGATGGCAAGGGGACGCGACGGCGGAACGGTGGCATACAATAACATCAACAGTATAGGTGATACGCACTAAACGAGCGGTAGCGATTCGTGCCCACGCAAGATACTTCTCATCGCTCCGCGCCGCCCCGCAGCTGCCATCGCTCAGCCGTGGCGATTTTTGTGCCCACAGCCAAAGACTGTCACTCGGGCTAAGTATTGCGAGAAGTGCGGCCCATGAAGGTCTATGCATGTACCAAAAATCAAATATCGGTCGGTAGCCGGGCGGTTCGACGTGGGTGCTTTATTCGCTCACTCAAATCGAACGCCGTGTTAGTCGGTGGTTCAAGCCCCAGGCTGAACGATCGATTTTCACTTACTATTGTCCAACCCGTGTTATAAATCACACGTTGAAAGGTAAGACCTCGTTAGTCCTTAGCTCGCATATCTTCGACTTCTGAGGGATGTCGTTCGTAGGGGTGCGATAGCTGGTTAACAGAAAAAACATATATATTTTTTAATGGCTAAAATACAGGAGTGTCTTTCTCTTAAGAGTGTCAGACTGTATATAACATAAATGAATTTTCGAAGATATAATAGTAATAATAATAATGAATGTTGTTATTTTTATCTTGGCGGAGTTTAGTTTACGCTACTCACCACTCAACCAATAACTGATGGAAATACTCAAATAAGTAATGTTTGATGAAGAATAATTTCTGTGAATTACTCGATAAATATTGTGAATAACCTGGGAATCACTTCAGAAATCAACTTGATCGTTCATCCCCACTTTCAAGAACTTTCTTATGATCATTTTTCAATTCGAGCCTGAGTAATAAACATCCCATACTGAATACCTAGATATTTATTGTTTGACACGTTTTTATTCTTTACAGTGCAGTGCCAAGTATGGAGAAATTCTTTTGGACCTTGCTTCTGGTGAACGTCGGGATAGTTTTCGTAAATTCCGAGTCGACAGTTCATTTTTTAGCGGGAAACATGGAACAGTTCGTGACTTCTACGACGCTCGAATGGGTGCCAAGAGTGCCAAGGAATGAAAATGACAAGGAAATCCTCAAAAATGCAGTCATTGCCGCATATCAAGTTATAGCAGGTTAGGATTTTCATTAAAACAGTATCGTGTGGAATAATTCTATTTTCATACATTTAGGTAAATATTCTCCATTTGACGCGCTCATTTATAAAAAGTTAGAGTTGCCTAGTTTAGGTCTCGAGGCACTTATATAGGTTAGGTTTAACAACTGTTTTAATTTAATTTCAGGAACTCTCGTCCGCTAATAAAATCATGAAAGATGACACCTTCTTTTCATGATCACATACTACGAACCCTTATTTGCTTGCCACTTCAGTGTCGCCAACTGGATGAACTATAAAGTCGCTACACATGAATCAAAATTCTGCTACACTGCTTCATATTCCATTACGCTGGTATATCTGACGCAAATCAGGTCGCGCATGCGCCCTATCCAAAATTAAATATTACAGAACTTACAGTTTGTGTCACAGAATAGTATGTTTACTATTCTGTGGTTTGTGTACCGAGTACAGTACAGAGTACAGTTGCAAACAATACTCTGAACTCTTGAGCGATCATTCGCGACAGGTCCAACCCATCCATTCCAGTTGGAATCAGAAAACCAATGTTGAGAAAAAGTTTGTTTTTTTCTATTTTCGAGACTTTTTGTATTTTTTTAAACATGTCCCGATAACGCATTGACTATGCATTCAATTGTCAGCTGTCAGCTTCGAGTGCTAGACTGCTAGAGTGTGTCATTTGGAGCGTTGATACATGTTGTTTGTTTACTCCATCTCCTTGCAATATCTACAACCGTCGTTTGCTTCCACTGTTTTTATTCTTGCCTTGTAAAACTCATTAATACAGTTTATTGTATGATTTTCACTATAAAAGGTTTTACAAAAAACGGCGACACGTGTTTCGCTATAAAATAGTTTTCTCAAGCGTTAATTAACGCTATTGTGTAGCGAAACACGTGTCGCGGTTTTTGTAAAACTCTTTATAGTGAAAATCATACAATAAGCTTTATTGATGAGTTTTTATATGGATTGACATCAAGTATCTGCCAGTTCTATTCAATTCTCCATGTAAACTTTATTTTTCATCCCTGTTTTCCATAAATTTTGAATACGTCTTTGCCAGCTACATACTTTCGACTCGACATCTTCGTATCAAATTACTCAAGCGCAGCATCCGCGACTATCATCATCAGAAGTCGTTTTTTACTGCTTGGCACACATTACCTATATATGTAAGACAATGAACGTGCCTCTGACGATAATAACGCAACTAAGTGCACCCAAAACGATAAGTTTCTTGACTCATTGTTCTGCTATACGCGTTGATGGTGAAACCAGACAAAAATGTCACGTTTAACAAGTCACATCCATACACAGCAATTTTCAATTGAAATATTTATGGCAGAGAGTGTTCAATTGACTGAAACCTATGCTGAAACAGTAAATGCGGCAATAAAGAAACAGTTGAACAAACAAAGTATGCGTTTGAGAGCAACGGTTTATTGGTAACATTATTAATAACTTCCAGCTTCAGTAGTCTTCGAGGGAAATGAACGAGTGCATACTTTAGTTAAAGACGTGGAAAAAAAAGTAAAAGAAGGCTGGTTTCATTGGCTCGCTAACAAAGGTTCAAATTAGGTGTGCAAGAATCAGCGGAAATAATTGTGAATGAAACTGTGAAAGGCAATAAAAAAACGTTGTTTTCACAAAACAACGAAGTAACTTGACACAAGATTACCGAACCAAATTTCACAATGAGTTACCAGAACACATGGAAATGTCGATGTGTTTGGAACCTTTAATAATTCACAAAACTACTTCTTTAAATATCAAACGAGATACTTCTAACAAAAAATTTAGGAGCAGAGCTTCTTGTATCTCCATTTTGAAAAAGTTCGCGTAAGAGAGGTCACATGCTTCTGGAATCTAAGATCAGCGTCCAGCTATAATCCCAGATTCTGTACACATTACATTTAGGCAGAGTATCACTCACAAGCCTTACGTTGATCAAACCTTCAACTTCCATTATTTTGAGTTGAAAGTTAGTTGAGACTTGGTACTGTTCATCTTCAAGTTGTGTACTGTATACAGATCCATGAGTTTTTGAAGATCATGATTGATTTTTTCGACAGCGTTTTGCCAGTTCCCAGAGAAAAATGAAAAACAAAGCTGAGTGTCATCACTATATTATATAGTACAATTGTCGATAATATGGAAAAGAAAAATATATAAATAGAATAAAAGGGGATCGATAGTTAAACTTTGCTGTATTCCAAACTGTGAGGCACTTGAATACTGACCATCTAATTATAAAATAGGCTGATTTCATTGGCTCGCTAACAAAGGTTCAATAGTGTCCAAGAATCAGTGGAAACAATTGTGAATGGAACTGTGAATGGAACTGTGAAAGACAATAAAAAAGGTTGTTTTCACAAAACATCAAAGCAACTTGACAACAAGATCTCCGAACCAAATTTCACAATGAGTAAACATAACACATGAAAATGTCGATGTGTTTGGAACTTCGATTAATCCATAAAACTATTTTTTTTAAGTCTTTGTGCGAAATACAATAATAAACAAATTCGTCTTTACATTCTTACAGGCACAAAGATATCTACTAGTGACTAGAACTGTCGCTCATCGAAAGACGGTGAGTTCGGTTGTGGGAGATAAATAAAACTGTATGACAGTAAAACAGTTTTATATCCTGATGATGATAACTTGGTTAGCGAAACGAGCTGCTTTATTTTTAGTATGGGAAAAGTGTTTTCATTATCAAGAGGTTCCAATGCTATCTATCAAATCATTAAGGTAAAATCATTTCATTTAAATATAAAATAGAATACGCATCAATATAGTTTTAATTTTTGAAAACTTCTTTCTTGAATCTTATCATGGTACTGTAACTTCAACCTGAAGTAACATGCCTAATTCTCTAAAATATTCATACTTTCCAAAAGAAGTATGTTTTACGATATCGTAAAATTTACGAGTCCCAAAACTCTGGCCCTCTTTTCAAAAACTACACTACTTCAATTTTGTGAATCATCCTTTGTATTGTGGAAATATATAACAGAAGTGTTCCGTCTGTATATGAGCCCCGAAAAATGATTCATCTCCACAAGAGTTGGACAACAGGAAGGTCGTTGGCTTTTGAGTTCGGAGTGTCTACGTGACAGCACTGGATCAGTATTGCATATGTCATTACTATTGTAACAGATCCATTACTTTTGGGTCGTGTCTGTTACATCGTAAGTACTATCCAAAAGAACCCGTAATCTATTACACCTCAGGGCTAGATCTATCAATGCTTTCAAGAACAGAACCGATGACATCTTTTTTGAAACTATTGTTTAGAATAACTTGTATCTTGCTAGGCTTTTAAGTTCATATAAATTTGAATTTTATTTGGCTTTCATAGGACTCATAGGATGGTTTATGGTCACAGAACTCATGATCTATTGATGTTCTGTGTCATGATGCAATGAGATAAAATTTACTCCTGGCCCAATGATGACTTACCCCGCGATGTGGAAAGTGGTCATTGGTTGATGATTCTGGCGCATGTTTCTAGTGAGTTTTTTCATTCCAGACTATAGTCAGATCTTCTATACATATTCAATTTCCCAATTACTTCTTTGAAATAAAATTAGAGCTCAAAAACAGAACATTATCGTGATCCAGAAAGCATGATAGGGTTCTTCACTGGTACTAGGCAGAACCACGAATGCATCGTGATTCAGCCAAGTCATGAATTTATTTAAAGAACCGTTACGTACCTCTACCGCTCTAGAAATGGAACAATAATAAGTCTTACAGAAAAATATGTGAAAAAGTACAGGCAGCATATTTCTCAAACGAAGAATTTTCATTCGGATTTGATACTTTGATCTAGAAAAAACCAATTTGAACTTCTTTATCTTATATATCCAAACTTACCGTTATGTTCCACTTCATCTGGTTTCCGGTTGTGAAACATTACACCCATAATACCGTGCGACTAAAAATAAGTTAATCTCGGAAAAATATTTAATAAAAGCGGCATATCTAATCGGCCTTGAGTCTCTATAAAGCGTATTATTAAAATTTCAAATTGCGATGATCGTCAAAGCATGTCATTCAATGGGAAGCGCGTTTGTTTTAATTCAATTGCATTCTGAAAACAAATGAATATTCATTCAAATTATGAGTCACTGGATTCTCTTGCGATATCAAATCTATTCGAATTCTATGAATTCTGTTTCAACATTTTTAGAGATTTATTTTTCTGCTCACTTGGAAAACATCTAGCAGAAAACTGTAAATAACCGACAGACAAATATTCTGATATGGATCCTAATAACTGAGAGACTTATTCATAGAGTTGTTTATTAACTATAACAAAACTATTTCTTGTATTCTTTGTAAAAAATACTTCTATAAAACTAACTAAACTATTATATTCGTTCAAAAAAGTACTTGGCTTTTTCTTGCTTGTTTATTCATTGTCTAGACGGGACTAATTGTAAAGGAAAACTTTCCACAATCATAGAAGCATATAGAACTGTGTATACATATTCATCAAATTCAGGATAGTACTTGCCCTATTTGCAACAATATCTTCAGTTGATGAGTAAAATTTGGAACTTCTGTCGCGAAATGAATCTATTGAAAACACTTTTCCCTAACCTCACTATATATTATCCAGAGATAAATTTCATTAAAAAACATTAGCATCACTAAATTTTTGTCACCGCATAAGTTCATCTTGGATTTGTTTAGACGTACCCGACAAAATAGTCAGATGCTTTGTACAGCTGATGCCTCTCAATAAACACCATGGCATATGATCAGGTGGTAGCTATAGCTGCCTACGTGGTCATGTTAGAAGTAGCCTGGAAATTCTAGGTCTTCTAACTGGAACCACAAATGTGCGGTTGGCTCCTATTATTGACTCCGTGCGTATGTGTTGTTTCCTATTTTCGCCCATCTTTGCATTTGGCTGCACCGCGCTGATGAGACCAATAGCCAGAAACACGTGTCCGTGGTTTACACCTTTTTGGAGTGTTGTGTCCACGAATTGTTTCATTTTTTATTTATATCATACACACTCGATAGCATCGATTGATAGATATTTATATAGATAGACATACAATGTGCATGATATTATAAAAGTTCAAGCACTGAGGTTGTGGCAACATATTCCTCCGTATTATAAAAACTTTGTTTTATCAGATAGTCCTTGATGTGATTTCTGAAACTTGGCGAGGGTGAATTTATGATACTGGATGGTAGAATATTATATAGATTGACATCGAGTGAGTTCTTAGAGGATTTTTGTAAATTGAACCGGCGAGGTCTTAAAAGATTAGCCCCACGAGTATTATACCCGTAAAATTGAGAGTTGGTCAAAAATCTATCTATATTCTTGTGCATTTCCAAGAGTGTCTGATATATAAAAATAGATGGCAACGTCATAACGCCTAGTCTTCTGAAAAATGGCCTGCATGAATCGTGGAAACCTGCGTTTGATATAATTTTAATTGCACGTTTTTGAAGCGTGAAAACTTTTGTGGCATTGAAGGAGTTGCCCAAAAGTAGAATTCCATAGCTAGCATGAGATTGAAAAATTGTATAATAAGCTGAGGGAATAGTTTCTGTACTAACAAAGTTTCTCAATTGCCGGAGCTTCTGGTTTGATACCTCTATATGAGGTGACCAGTTCAAAGCAACGTTGCGTTCAGGAAAACTCATGAGTATAATTGTAACAACCCCAGAAACCGAAGGCATACGATCATATATTTGTTTTATATGTATAACCTCAAACTCTATGCCTCTGCAAAAAAGGAACCCGATCAGTCCTTGGAGGTGGTGGTGGAGTACACCCATGCTAGCGGCATGAGGTCTGCGATAGACAAATGTACAGCTGCCCGAGCTGCTGATAAAGTTAATTTAGTTTTCAACACTGATCGAGGTAACCAGAACTCTTGAACCGAGTCGGAACCCGTGTAGCAAGAGGCTCGAAGCTGAGGCTACATAATCTCAAGCCTATACATGGAATTTTCTTCAACAACATTGTAGACCTCGGAATATCAAATCACCCAACCTTTATTTTTCCAGGTCAAAGAGGCCAAAGTCGGAAACATCAGGATGGTGTCTTAAACAGCTAAGTCTACCACAGGATATACGCTCATGCGTCAAAACGAATGATATTTTCTTAAGTATTTTTTCTAAAAAATTACTCATTAGGCGGCCAACTTCATCAATATCTGTTGGTGTTGGTACTTATTTTTTTTTAGATTCACGTCGATCTATAATATGGAGTAACTAGGTACTTCTATCAACTAACCACTTTATTTTTTCAGAACCGAAGGACAATGAGGCAGCCGTAACAGAAAACGACACTGGCAACGGTTTGGTCAGCAAACCGGTATACGTATGCCGAGCAAAAATCAACAGCGTATGGGTCGTGGGTCAGCTCAGGCCCCTCAAGCACGTTTGCGTAGTGTCCGACTACAGGAGGGTGTCGGAACACGACCACTTCGACATCTTGGTGAGCATCGAAGATAGCGCCAGGCTCAGCTGGGTTAACAAGGAAACGTACACTATTCTATCGCAGGGGGCGGTTACTAGCGGGGAGAATCCGGTCAGGACTTTCGTGGCTAGGAGGGCGGCCAAAAATCACGGAAAGGAGGGTGAGTATCATACTAAGTGTAGGAGTTCTCCACTGAATTCTCTGAAATGAACTACCTGATACAAATGAGGAGCAAAATGTCCGATTTTAAAGACTTCCTCCGTATCGAAAAAAATTACATCCTTTCAAAAGTGATATTATTGCTTAGGTGGCACATATGTGCACTGTCCATCGCAATAGTACCCTAGTAACACTTCATTGTAAAATTTTCTCAGATACGTTCATGAAAGAAAAGAAACAATCATTTGCTCTTCATAATAATATCGAATAAAATATTGTTCGTGTTAGAATGTGAACACAGCTCTAAGTTTACTAGGAACTTTTGGATACACTACAAAACTAGGATACTGAAATGCTGCTTTCACTTCACTCACAAGATCTAATTGAGATTGCTTGTCTCGAGTCCATTCAATGCAAATGAATTGACGCCCAGAAGGGATTGTCTATTTCAACTTAGCGGAAAAACTAACATTTAATATGGCGCTACTTTAGAGAAACGTGTTTGTGATGTAGTATTATCAAAACTAAGAAGTTATATTTTGCAACGATGGTGCAATTTACAAAAAAAAAATGAAAAATCAAAATCATTTTATGCAGTTGAAATTTTGCTGGATGTTTTGAGGAAAATGCCACTTTTGTAATTTTTTTCAAATCAAATTAGACAGATAACGCAAATCACGTGACTAAATTTTTTTGTTTATTTGTCTATGAAAAAACTTGTTTCCATGTGATGAATAATACAAAAAGTGATGTGTTATCTTCAACTTTACGTATAACAAATAATTAAAGAAATAATGTATTCATTTGGCAAACATAAATTGAACTATTCAATAACAGTAATCTGACGTTAGATTGAATTTTCATCAGGTATGGACATCAAGTATGGACAACTCCTAAACAGCAATGTTCTTAGAATGTGACAATATAGGTTCTTGATCTTTCGACCTACATTATGATCAAAAACGACATATATTTTCACAATCTAATGAATAGTGTCATAAATACCCAATAGCAGTAATCTGACGTTAGATTGAATTTTCATCAGGTATGGACATCAAGTATGGACAACTCATAAACAGCAATGTTCTTAGAATGTGACAATACAGGTTCTTGATCTTTCGACCCATATTATGATCAAAAACGACATATATTTTCACAATCTAATGTATAGTGCCATAAGTACCCAATAGCAGCAATCTGACGTTAGATTGAATTTTCATCAGGTATGGACATCAAGTATGGACAACTCCTAAACAACACTGTTCTTAGAATTGTGATTAAAAACGACATTTATTGTCACAATCTAGTGAATAGTGTCATAAGTACCTAATAACAGTAATCTGACATTAGATTGAATTTTCATCAGGTATGGACAACTCCTGAACAGCAATGTTCTTAGAATGTGACAATATTGGTTCTTGATCTTTCGACTTATATTATGATCAAAAACGACATATATTTTCACAATCTAATGAATAGTGTCATAAGTACCCAATAGCAGCAATCTGACGAATGTTTAAATTCGAGCATGCGTTCTCAAACAGGTTAAGAATATATTCCCTCAAATTTGTATAAGAAGGACGATAAAGTCTTGGTCGGGGTTCTAAATTTCCCCCATATTTTTAGAGAATGTTACGCTCGGTATCCCAAAAAGTGAAGATTATGCACAGTGTATTGGTTTATTCAATAATCACTCTGTTGTTTATTGATGAAAATTTGAATAGTCAAATGTATGTCCATATGTTAAAAAGCGAAAATAGAATTACTAGTACTTGAACCACATGACTCGTGTGTAAATCTATTCATAAAACCCACGGATTACGAATCGATTCTATTGAAAACACTTCCTTCCCAACACCCGAACAGGAGATTCCTGTTCGGGTGTTGGGAATTCTCAGATCATAATGATCTCCTGAGGACGCTAACTTGGATAGCGAAACGAGTCAAGAGATTCATTTTACGCCAGAGGTTCCAGTACGAACTATCAAGTACGAATTGAGGTTCCTTCTATGAACCTCCTAGTTTGAACCTACTTGATTCTACGGCGATATTCAAACTCATTTATGCATTTAGAATATCAATGAATAAATATTCTACAAATTATAAATTGAATTAGAAAGTACAAAATCTGAGCAGAAACTACTACCAAGCGTTTCATCTGCTACTGCGGCAGACCGAATTTCAAAAACATTGTTTTTGAAATTCGGTCTGCCGACTATTGAAAAAAGGGTTTATGTTGGGAAAATCAATCATTGACCTGATGATTTATTTTGTAATACACAATTTCTAACGAAAAGCACGAATAAAAATATCGACTTGCCGGGAAGTGAAAACGAGACTCAAATAACTTCATGTTACCCTAGTTTGCAAGCCAGCTCTGAAGAGCAGTTGGTTGTACTCACATCTTTGTTTTTTTTAATCAAACTAATTGAAATTGAAATAAAAACAAAAACAGGAAGTATTTTTTAATACTTTTTGATGACATTACTCTCATTCGCGATATAGAAAAACTTGTTGAACAAAGAATTATAATGTTTGTAAAAAAGCGTAATATTATTAGTAGCAGTCAGTTTGGGTTTCAGAATTTGAAAAACACGGAAGATGCTATGTTTCATCTACTGGAAAACGTGTATCTCAATTTAAATAATCGTGAAATAGCAGCGGCAGTTTTTTGCGATCTTTCAAAAGCTTTTGATTGCGTGGATCATGAAATTCTGCTGCAAAAACTAGAAGTGTATGGCTTTAGATATATATCTTTGAAATGGTTCAGATCATACCTTTTAGAACGTACTCAGAAAGTCAAACTCCCGGACAACATATCCCATCTCCAGAAAGTTACGTGTGGTGTTCCACAAGGATCGGTTCTAGGCCCAATTCTCTTCTTGTTATATATTAACGACCTAGCCCGCATTAATATGACCGCAGAAAATAACCCAATTCGCTGATGACACTACATTATTTTCGCACTACAAGAATGAAATGGAACTGCATGATTTGATCAGCATGGATATTATAAAAATAAAAGACCCTCAAGTGCTCCACACTGGATATCTACCTGGGTACTCAATTAATAGAAAACAAAATGTCAGCAAAATTTCTGGGATTACAAATTGATAAAAATTTGGATTTTGAAGGTCACATAAATAACCTATGTAAAAAAATTTCATCAGGATGCTTTGCAGTCACGAGTATCAGCAAATAAATTGGGCACTAATATGGCAAAAAATGTGTACTTTGCTCTCATCGATTCCCATCTGAGATACGGTATCTGCTTTTAGGGAACGTGTTGCCAATACATGTTTGATAGGGTGTTTGTACTACAAAAAAGAGGAATTAGAAATATGTGTAGAGTTGGATTCAGGGATTCCTGTCGACCTTTATTCAGAAAGCATTAAATCTTGACCTTGTCTTCCATACTTATATTGGAAATGTTATGTCTGGTGCAAAAAAAATACAAGACGGAAATTTTCATGTCACCACGACGAAATACCAGAAATAAGCTCAATATAGGTTTACCGATTCCAATATCATCACAAATTGAGAGGTATTTCATATATAATGGGAAAAAATGTTCAACCATTTGCCAATTAAGATCAAAGGCATAACATGTACCACTAAATTTAGAAAGTCTGTAAAAAAACTTCTGATTTCAAAGGCTTTTTATTCTCTAGACGAATTCTATTCAGACAGAAATTAAATTATATAAACAATTAATTTATGATATCCTTCAGAGATGAGCCTTATTTTAAATTATTCGTGATATAAGTCATAGAAAAAGTATAGTATTTTATTTGCGAGAAATAGTAATTACTCGTTCTAATAATTAACGCGGCTCGCCTTCGGCTCGCGTCCACAATCATGATTCTCATGAATGATAACCACAATCGCTCATTTAATAATATATTATTGTTACATTCAACAGACGATAATAGTATTTGGTACTTTTTGTCACTTTCTGTTTCCTCTTTTATTTATTAAAACAGTGAATTTCCTCAGGGTCAATGCCTAAAACATACCAAAAACTACATTTGTTTCCTTTACTGCTCTAATCGTTGAGCCTACATCTAAACCTGTAACTCTCGTTAATTCATATATCTTTCTAGGTTCCCTCACCCATTACGTGGGTAAATTCAACCCATCAGAAAACCTCGGCGTATTCCACGTGGTCGACCAAAACAACGACGAGATCCAGTTCGAAGATGGGGAAGTCCTCGTGGAAACCGAACCGATCGGCTACGAACTGAAGTCCATCAAGTACCAAAGAACGAAAAAGCGACAGCGCAAAAATAAGCGTGTTCTCGGCTTCGCCACCTTGAAGAACGAAGAGAACGGTTTGCAGCGCGTTGACAGCGTCATCAGTTTCAATTATACCTATTCCCTGCACTGGGGAAAAGGCCACGGAATGCTGACAGGATTGCCGTTCAACGTGTCGCTGCCAAACGGGACTCAGATCCATGGAGCGTGGGCTATCTGGCAGGAAACGAATGTAGTGGAAGTGGCGCCGATTGAAAAGTAGGTTTTCATTTGATCTTTCAATATTTTCATTCATCCGTCTATTTATTAACTTTGGGATGAAATCATGAGTCCACAACAGATTCCACTGCAATATAGTTTACTGTCAAATTACACAAGACAATTGTATATAACCACCAGGTCTATGAAGGTAACTTTCTGATTATTTTCTGAAATACAAGCATTTTCGTAGAATGAATATGTGTTAAAACTATTGAATCATAATATTGAATCCCAATGAGGAATGTTCAAATAATTGTTTCTTGTTATTTGGGGGCAATCTGACTAATTTTTTAGTTTCAAGTCTTCGAAAAACAATGCTGCGTCATGGATATTCCGTTTTTTCACCCAACTTTTTCTTAACAACTATTTCAACAATCTTGTTAACTGCCTATTTTGTACAGGAGAATCCTTTATCCTTCTGGACATACATTTTGAACAAACATCCATACAAACATAAATTAATTGCCTCACATTGCCATTGCATCACAATTGCACAAAAATATGTTGAGCGGTCTATGTTCCTTGAATTACCTAAAACTAAAGTCTGTGAATCAGTCCTATTTTCTTTCGGTATCCTCTGAATGAACAATGTCCAGAGGATAACCCCTGTAATTATTCTGAGCCGTGTTCAAGCATTCTTTAGTTCATTTTTTCAGATGGTTTTTATACAAACGTTTTCGTGATCTGTTTCTTACCAAGATTTGGTTACCCCCACAGCTGGTTCAGGCCCAATATATAGAGATTATTATCCGTATCTAGTATCTTCATCCCCCTTTCTCTGCCTGTAATTTCTGAGTTGTCAGAGATCACAGGCTGAATAAACGGGAAACCTTATCTTTTATATTCATTGATTGAGTATTTTGTCTACGCCTTTTCTTTCTTTTACTCTTGGGTTTGTCAATGCTGCGAGTGCTTCTTGATTGTCTCTGAATTCGTTTAAAATTGATCTATTTCAGAGCTCTGGTAGACGAGGAAAAAATAACCTATACATACATTTCTCAGTAATTAATTTCATATTCAAATCAAGAGATAATAATATGGTACTTATAGATATTCATCAGAGCCTTTGTTCATTACGAATTTATGATTTACCTAATAGTTCAATGAACTGTAATTCCTTAGCTTACTGTCAATATCCTGCAGTGATAAAAACATCAATGAACGTCACTTGACGTTACATAAGATAGTATTGTGATTTTGCCTGTCACCTGTCACAGGCCTTACTGACATTTATGTCAATGAAATCTACATGCAAATCTGGAATCTATACAGTGAAACACCAAGGCTTCACTTGAAATTTGTTGAAGCCATCTTTCATAGCTAGGTTTCAAGAACAATTTAGCAAAAGAAAAAGAAGAATTGTAAAAGTAAAAATACTTATGGGTAATTCAGCATGCCAGTTAATATTTGGAAGAGACTCTAGCAATAATGCAGAGCTTAAATTCCATTCAGGTGAAACTTTTTCAATTTATGTTCCAGCTGCCATCTTGGCCGAATGTTAAAAGTGCACCAATACTGTTCCCTCTAGATATCAGTTTTATCCCCGTAAATAATATTTTATAATATGTATGATGCCGGAAAAATTAGTTATTCAATTTGTATACACATCTTTTTCAATATTTGTTTTATACTGATGTCGACTTGAAATCTTATAGGATTTTAATATTCCAGTGACACATTCAATATTGCTCTGACAAGATTTAAAAATAACGAGCGAACCTACGTGACGAAACAGAAGATACACTAAAGTTGATTCACTCAAGAATGCTGGGACAGTCACCTGAATTATTCAAAAGTTTCTACTGAAGTGATGCAAAAATATTACATTATTCTACAATAGTAAGATCCGCTATGTTAAAGCCGGCATTGTCATGATAATGAATGATTCGTGGTTTTCGAATGTTTTTGGTGGTTTTATCGTTGATGTCGGGTGAATAAATAGTTGTATACAAATTGAAAAAAAAACAATTTCTGTTGGGTTTGGCAAACGTGGCGCACAACATCGATATTTCCATTTATTATAATTTTCTGGAGAGACTCGCAAAGAAAGTCACATTCTTTTCGAAATTAAAACCACTCCAGTGACAGCTTGATTCTTTCTAAATAATATCTTCAACGAATTATAGTCTGAAATAGGAAGTATTGCTGCCATATCAATCTTAGATGTAATTTCATTGTTATTGAAGTATCACAGATAATATCTCCCATTAACGAAAATCGATTTCATGAACGAAATATATAGCTACTCGAGCGTGAAATTTTTTCAATATCATCAAAATATCGTTTTATATAACTATCGATTTGCCGTCAATATTCTGCGTTTCATTTCCAATGAACCAAATATCAATTGTGTGGACTATATATATATGCATGCTTATTGTTATATTTTTACTAATAATTTCTCGAATTTGCAGATACCTAGAAGCAGGAACAGCAGTCAACGTTACACTGATGGGCAACTACACCGAAATAGAGGTTCCTTACACAGCCACAGTAGTCTTATTCTACGCCGACAACGGAACAAGAGAGATAACAATCCGAGATACCAAAATCGAAAATAAAATGATGGATATTGTGACTGTATACGAGCCGGCATACTTTATCCACAACAACACTTTGGTCCCCACCACGACAACTACGACTACCACGACTACGACCACCACCACCAAAACTACCACGCAAGAAGTAATTCCTATCGCTCCACCCCAGGTCGTGATCAAAGACAGGAAATCGGATGGCTCATCTTCGATCGAAGGGAAACACGAAAATGGAAGCATGCTATCAGACCAACAGACCTCGAAACATGACAACGCATCATCTCTGAAGAAGGGCGATCCCCAAACGAGAGAGAGCGTGGACGGGGGAGCAGCTTCTAGATCTGTTATGGGGATGGTGACGAGTCTGGTACTAGCAGTCATTGTGTGCAGAATTACGTAAACAGACTTTTTCACTTGAAGGAACAGCCTGCTTGAAGCTAGCGGTTGAAGTTAACGGTCGTCAAGGAGCAAGAAGTTAGCCTCAATATTCATGTTTTTGAATAATCACAATGTTTGTTTCGTTGCAAATCCAGACTTATTGCTATGTCGTTTCTGTGTAATATACTTGTTCTGTTATTATTCCATCCACAAACAAAAAAGTAATAAAAATATAAATATTTTTTTTCAAAATCATGTTTTCCAAAGTACAGATTAATATCGATTGGGGCTAACTTCGGAGCAAGTCCTATGGCAGCTTTCGACAAAAATCATTTTCACTATCTACTGTTTTATGGTTCTTGTTCTGTTGCTATATTCATCCTATCTCTTTCGACTATTGTTTAATGATGTGTATATAACTGTGTAAATAAGCAAAGATTGGTGAAGAAAATGCTAGTTGAGAATTGGTGATAAAACTACGTCCAATTTGTAAAATTCCTATTCCATATGTATTTCACTATCAAATTCTTTACAAAATCAGAGATTTAATAACTTTTTCAATTTTTATTACTTCTTTAGATTCCTAGAAAGGAATATTGAACTTGGCCAAAGTTCATGAATTCATTGCACAATTTTTGAAAGGTTTGGTAGCAAAATTCATATAGAACTGGAAAGGTTTTCGTATAATTTTAGAGTGTAGTTTTGGGGTATGGTTGATTTATTAAAGTTACGTCTCTCTAAATGATACTTCTGAACTGATTAAACTCCTTTGAGGCGTAATGTATTCTTGCCGAGTATGGAACATAGAATACTAAAATCATTACTAGCAAAATGGAAATATATTTTGCAAGACAAATGGTAGTAACGTAGTGTGTGGTATATATTTTTGCTAAAAATGACGGTGTTATTTTTGTTCAAAATTAGAATGTATAAAATAAACTTTCTTGGCGCTAGCCCATCGACCTGTCTAAAATAACGATCATGTTCAGTGTATTGTTCGAGGTTTAGAAATGTTCTCATTTTTCGTTTCCAAGTACAAAAAACTAATATTATGTAAATGTATTTTCTGAATTTTGCTTTGTTGTTTTCTAGAATATTTCGGTGTAGTGTTTTTTTAAGAAACTGGCAGTTTGGCTCTAGATTGTAACTGAAAGAACTCACACAAAAACAAAATTCAGAAAATTACTATATGTAAAAGCTCGATGTAATTACTAACCAAAAAATTGTTCTCAGCATTGTGTATATATAATAAAATGATTATTTTAAAATAATATTCAAAACTATTATAAGGTATTATTCAGGCCCAATGCGAAATATGATATTTCTTCAAGCTTTGCAATGTGGCTGTATCTTTCTATTCAATACATTATTTTTGTCCATTTAAATAAATATCCCAATACTGCTGTGAAACTTTCCAAAAACTAAAGCTAAGAGTATATATATCAATTTTGATGTGTTCAAGAATTAATCAAAACTCAGCGAGTTATTCAGCTTATAATAGTGACAATATTTGTAAGGAGAAAAATCATGATTGCTGTTCTTTTGTGATTGATATTGGACTGAAAACTCTTCTGTAAAGATTATTTGTTTTTAATTATTATTGTACATTCCTATGATATGTAGATATTCATTATAAAATATACTTAATGAAAACTCTGTATTTTCACTTTCAGAAAGGGTGAAGGTAAAGCTTAGCGGAAAATATTAAAATTTTCCTTGATTTCAAATATTGTATAAATTTGTTTGATTGCTAAAACATGGTACACATTTGAATTCACTCATAAACTCATCAGTTTAACTACCAGCAAAGGTAAATAAAGGCACATCTGTTGAAAGCAAGCACATGTTGATAATTACTTTTACGATCACTAAGAGCCCTGTAAACTAGATAATTAATTTAATCATTCACTTGTTAGTTGGTGAAAAATTTAAGTGTTCAGATGCATAAAACTCTTATTCAGTTTCAGATAGGAAGTTTTTGTTAGAAAACATTATAGGTATGGCCTTTTTTAGTGTTAGAAGAAATGGCTCTTTATCCATTCGGTGGCAGAGGGTGATAACATCTCACACGAATTTACTGATAATTAAGGAAATGAAACATCTGGCCTCACTGACCACTGTCAATACTAAAAAGCAGCTGGAAAGGAAGCAACTTCAAATTGACCTCATCTAGCATTTTCCAAAGAATGTGAATTACTGATTACCTCAATTACTCATGAACTTATTATGATATAGAGGGGAAAATATTCGAATATAAGTGTATAAGTGTAAGTCACGACCCGTGTCTAGGTGTAAAAAATAACGGTAATATTCATTACTAATTACTACACCAGTAATATTCATTACTATACTAAAGGTTCCAAACAGTGCATCACAAGAGCATTGATGAAAAATTACACATAAAATTATATTTTTTTACATAATTTCATAAGAAAGAGGACATTGTTAGATCAAGATCTTCAGATGATGTGGTGCTGCAGGTTTTTCCGGGTTTTCCTGCAGCTGAAAAAGCAAATGCGCCACTGGAATCAATGAAGTCGCCCCGGAGCGCCAATTAATTTTTATTGTTGTTTTTATTTTATTTTTATCATTGTTTTAATATATGCATATATTATTTCCTGAAGAAGTTATTCAATAATTTTCAATTCTATTTGCAAAAGTCGATAATTCAAAGTTGGTTTTAATGTACAATATCCTTGATGGTTGTAAAATGAAATTTTTATATTTTTCCTGTGCTGACTTCATCAATTCTTTATTTCTTGCACTGCACCAACCTATATTTAATTTATTTATTGATTATTGGAATCCCATTGACTTTCTGCTATGAATCTCATGTTTAAGTTTTTTGAAAATATAAGGTTTAAGTGCTTAAGTGTCACGACAACCATGAGAACGACCCCAACTGCAGCACTTGAAGGTCCTACTTAGACTTCCACCATTGCACATCTACATACAAAGAGAAGCTCGACTGGTAACACACAGGCTAATGCAGGGGCAAACCCCAATCAGCCAGGCACACGGTGCAGAATACTTGAAACTGTACAAGGAACTGAAGGCAGATCCAATACAAAACGGCCCACCGGTAAAAGCGGAAGAAACTTGGCATACAGATGGCTCAAAGACCCAAGAAGGAGTGGGATCCGGTATATACGGAGGCAGAGCAAAGACGAGAATCGCACTCAGCCTCGGACAGCTGTGTTCCAGGCAGAAGTAGCGGCCATCAAACACTGTATAGGGGAAATAAACAGGCAGAAGGTCTCCGACAGCCAGGCAGCAATTAAGGCGCTCAGCTCATTTCAAGTCTTCCCCAGACTGGTGGAAAGCTGTCTGAGCACACTCAAGGAGCTAAGTACCCAAAATAAGGTCACTCTAACTTGGGTACCCGGACATGAGGGTCACAAGGGCAATAGGGAGGCCGATGTTCTAGCCCATGAAGGCGCATCCAAGGCTATGATTGGCCCAGAACCCTTCTGTGGGGTAGCGAAAGCATGTATAAAAACATCCATAAATTATGGATGCAAGCCGAATCGATAGATTGGTGGAATAAGCTCCCAGGAATGAGGCAGGCGAAAGAGTTCATAAAGAAACCATCGCCCAGATTCACGGAAGACCTGTTAAACCACAAGTGTAGAGTTATAAGGCTAGTGGTACACTACGTGTACTAATGGGGCATAGTCGACTCAGGAAACATATGACCAACATGGGTCTGACAGAAAAAACTCAATACAGGTTCTGTCAAGAAGAGAAAGAAGCATCACTGCATGTGCTCTGTGAATGCGAAGCGATAGCAAGGCTGAGACACGCAAGATGAGGGAAAGAGAAACCAGAGGATGCCAGCTATATGAAAGCGTCAGTGTCAAGGCTATGGAGTCTCATTAAGAAGATCAAACTAGACAATGAGCTCTAACAGCCAAGGAGCATCACAATAGATATGAAAAGGTCGCAATGAATCAGGCCATTGGCATTGGCTAGCAAAAATCTAATCTAAATATAAGGTAGTTTCAACAAGATTTGTCATGAACAGTTGAACAAAAGTGATCGATTTTGGAAGTGCGTCTACATCTAATATATAAAAATGGATGTTTGTTGATTGGTTGGTAAGTGATAAACGTCTACATCGCTCAACCGATCGTGATGAAACTTGACATGTATAAGTAATTTTTCATAGAGAAGGTTTTTAGGCTAATAATTTTTCTGTAATTCGCCACTAGATGGCGCTGTAGAACAATTTTTCCCAAGTTCGTTGATTCTGATTCTGTCAGTATATTGGAACAGCAGCGATACAGCAACTTAGTACTAGTACTTAATAAACTAATTGACCCATTAGCAATCAGATGAAACATCCTTTTGTGGACATGTCTGCACTTCTCATCAGCATATATTTTTAGGGCAATTTGTTTCATTTAATTATTATTAGTTTTCCTAGTATTATTCTTTTTTCTAGATTTTTTTGTAAATATATTCAGCAAAGATTCCACAATTGAACTGAAAAATGTGCATCAAAAACAAAAGACAGAAGAAAAGACATCTGTCATCTTAATATAGAAGAAATGATATTTGATGTTTATAAGGCCACTACCTTTTCCAAGAAATATGGAAGGTTGTGAAAATAATTTCAATTCAGCCAGAGATTTTGACAAAAATTTTATAATAAAAATGTCTTACAAATGAACTGAAGTACCTATCTTATATAGGAAAATTCTTTGAAAATATATAAAGAATTACAGAAATAAAAGTGAAAAAATGTATCATTTGGTCGAGACCTGAACCAACGGAAGTTAAAGAAAATCAAAAGAATGGGTTTGAAAATCATTCAGGTATATCTCTCTATCTATACAGTTATATTCATATTTTAAACAAAGGAAAGAGACTTTCAATTTGCCATATTGGCAATGAAGAAGACTTTGTATTCACCAACTTTTATTTTTAAATAAAAAAATGGAGGAGACTATCAACGAATGGTTTTCAAATATTTTTCCATAATTATGACAAAAAAAGAAAATATTCAGGAATGGGTGCTATATAACAGTATAGATTTTGATGTAATGCTCAAAGTTCAATTCATGAAAATTCTTAAGGAAAAAGGAAATATTCCAATAAATATAAATATGTAATAAATGAAACGATAGAAAGCCAAAATAAAGATGTAATGGAATTTCCTGTATATAAGTAAATTTGCAGGCAGATTTAGAAAATGCCGATATTGAGAATGCCTGTGTAATTGATATGAGATTTTTAACATGAAATTAACTTTTTTGAAAACATCAGTACGGAATGAAAAACATTGATTTATTTTATTCTTCTGTAGAAGTAAAAGAAAATAATTTTTATCAATATTTTTTGTCTACCTTCAGACTTGGTCATATCTTCTGCTAAGTACCTGAATATTGAACTTTTATTTTTCAACTAACCTGGAATCAATGAAGTCGCCCCAGAGCGCCAATTAATTTTTATTGTTGTTTTTATTTTTAACTTTTCATTAAAGAAAAATAAAATTTAAATACTTAAAATTCAAATATATAATTCATTTCAAAATATCCAAAATAACGCTCATATATCCATCATTACCTATTTAATTAGGTTTGGCAATATTTCAGATTCATACCACCAAGGTCTTTTTAATTTCGAGTATGTTGTGTTTCTATTAAGGATTTTTCGACCATCAAACACTCCAATAAAGCTTTTAAATATAAAAATCACTCACCCATAACTCCTAACTGCTGTGGAGTGAGATTAGTAGTTTCCAATCCTTCAGGTATAGGAAGCCCGCTACTCACAATGCTGCCAGAAGCTATCGAAGCTTTTCCACTAATAATTGAACCCTGTCTATTATATTTGTCACTGTAAGTAGCACTACGTCGGCCACTACTAGCTACACTTCCAACATCTAAAAAAAAACGAGATAACTATAATACATTATAACATAATTCCGTAGTTTAGAAACATCACATTTGGGTTTTTATTATTCACTACACTCCTAAGTTATTTAGTAGGAATTTTGGTAGGAATATTGTACTTGCCAATTCATTGCACAAAAAAGGTTATTTTAATGTGCAACTGATTTGATTAAATTTAAAACTTTGGCAAGATAACGGAGATAATTCAATCCTATTACCCAACAAACTCTTCTAAATGTATGTCATTTAGATCACTAGACTATTTACCTGTAAGTTATACTATTGATACTAATACACTGAAAACGATGTTTCAAGTGAGATTTGATGGGTAATAGCACTCCTCTTACACCTTGTTAATTTTTGAGGTGCTGCTACATCAATATTTTTGAGATTATATTATGGTTTCCTTTTTCTGGGAATAATCTCAGGACATATTCCTCATGAACCAAGAGCTTGGCCAATCAAAATTCCTGCAATTGCATAGTTTGCTTTCGAACAAATACTTTCATGTTTATTAATTTAGAATGAAATTCCTTGACCTACGCTCGAATAACCTCCCATTATTTACTTAGCAACATTTTTAAAATGATAGATTTGCACATACTTGAACTGAATGAAATTGTACACACAGGATATAACCCTTGATATTTTGAATTAGCTTATATTTATAAAATTTGGACAACCAGGACAACTTTACTCCAAGCTAGCTATTTAATCATATTTCCCATAGATGGCATAACACAAACAAATGAAAATCTATAAACTACAACTACCTGAAAATAGAGGGTAAAAATCCAAATAACCAATATCTCCAAAAATTACCTTTTGTGTAGTCGACAATGTAGGTTTTTGGGGTAAGAATTGTCTGACCGTTTGAACATATTCTTTCAGGTGTCCTAAATTGATTATTATAGACATTATTTGAAAACAATATGAAATATAGTTCGGGTTATAGGTTAGAATCCAAATTTACACTATACTACTTCCAGCTCACGATTCCCACGAATGATACTAGCGTCGACAAATTCAGTGAAAGTTCCTACAATAACTCAACTCTTTTTTCATAATGAAACTCAGATAAATTTAAATTGAAATAGCTGATACACAAACATGTTCATTTGAACTACGAGCAAACGAACTACTCTCAAATTTAAACTAATTTCTGAATTTTTCTTCTTCTTTTACGAGACGAATCTGTGTCGAAGCATTAAGCCCTTTACACGTGTTACTTTTTCCACCGTTTAACTGTTTGAAAAAAAATCTGTTTCTCCGGTAATCAGCTGTCGCCCCCATACGAATGACAACTCTCAGAAGTTGAGAAACTTGTGCGAGCTAAGGACTAACGAGGTCTTACCTTTTAACGTGTGATTCCTAACACGGTTAACTCACCGATGTTATCGGAATTCAATCAAACTGTTCCTTTTTTCACCTATTTTTATCCGACGAATTTCATCAAACTGTTTCTGTTGTATGAGAACACATACTTTCACGGCCGGAGTCATGACTGTAGAGAAAATCCAGGTAGGCCGTTCTCGAATGGAACATGAATTATTAAATGTCGAATCATATGACACCAACTCAGTTGTCTGATGAGTCTACTAGTAGCAAGGGTTTTAATTTATATAAATGAAAATGAAGTTTGAAACTGAAAGTTTCAGATGTATTTACATCATTGTTCCTTTTTTCACTCAGGATTTCTGATAAACAAACCTTGTTTTCCACCTTTTGGCTGTGACGTCACTAGTGTATTCGATGGATTGTGATTACAGCTGAATGAAATGGAATGGGTGAAAACTAGGTGAATTTTGAGACTGAAAATATTAGAACAGAACTTGTTTCTGTTCACCAAATTCAATGTACTCGTCCTCTTCAGATTGTTTGATTTATTGTAGGTCAATATATGGATCCTAGTTCCTTTTTCATCTCATTTAGAAATATTATGTATTGAAGCACAGTTATAATGAAAAAACAGATCTTTTTTAACATCAAAATGTGCACCCACTCTTAGAGAACACAAAACTGTACTCAACTCAAAATCTCATTATAAAAATGACTTGGATTCCTTCTCAAAATCACACATTTATTTGTTTCATCGATTGTGAATATCAACAGACTGGGGCAAAGAAAATTGAAAAATTTAATTAATTGCAAAATGTATGGTCACAGTATATGATTTCCAGTTCTCACTTCGAAGATAATTTAGCAATTAACTAATAAGTAACACACTCAGCAATAGACACAACTGTTTAAAAAAAATCTGTTTTTCCGTTAACCGGCTGTCGTACCCATACGAACGACAACCCTCAGAAGTCGAAACTTGTGCGAACTAAGGATTAACCAGGTCTTACCTTTTAACTGTTTTGTCTCAAAAGTAATCATAAAATGAAGAGATCTACCATACTTTGGCATATCATTCACATAGGAGCTGAGCTCAAACCAATGTTTACATTTGCATTTGCAAACGATTTTTGTTCCAATTATCAACATGTGTACAAAGTGTACCCTAACAGGTTTGTTCTGGTTCTAACATCCCAAAACGTTTGGAAACTGCGCAAGACATGGTGCGTACAAACAAAAAATCTCAAACAGTTCGAAATAGTCTCGGACACTTGTTTAAACCAGAACGCTTTTGAGGAGACCACTGTGCCACCTATCGTATATATGA